AATTATATTATTAAACCAAATATAAATTTCTTCGTTATTGTACATAAATTAAATTATAAAAAATTTGAATTAAAAAATTACACAAAAAATGAGGAATTTCAAATAGTTAATTTGATATTAATATCGATATATTTTTGTCAAATTTTATTGATATCTTCAAACATATATTTTATTCAAAAATAAAAACATTATCGATTTTTCAAAATCACATAAAGTCATATTATAACATCGACTGAGATAAAGAATAAAATGAAATATTAAAATCACGATGTATCTCGCTAAATTGCACGAGTATGCTTCTAGTTTCATATATATATATATATATATATATATATATATATATATATATCTCAATAACCTTAATTAATAATAGTCAAATCACAAGCAAAAAATTAATTAAGAGATTTAAACTCAAAACATCTTCAACCTTCTACACATCAAACAACTTTAGGAATAGCAAATATGCAAGTTATGAACCCAACATTTCAAGTAACAAAGATTAAAATGAAAAGTAAATGAAATTTCAAAAACATGGAGTTCTCTTTCTTCTACCCTCTTTTCTTCCATTAGATTCTGAACCTGACCAAGGACTTGAGTGGGTCGGAGGTGCAATTCGCCCATCCACAAACAACGAATTCGATAGCTCTCCAAAAGGTTGAGCCAACGCGATCTCATCAGGACCATAAATCAATGGACCATGATGACCTCGTCTCTGTTCATGTGCAGTTCTTCTTTCCACTTCAAGAAAATGTCCAAGGGGTACAGTGTTGTTTCTAGCAATATCCACCTCAACATTATCTCTTGGGCATAAACATAAATTAAAACACCAAGTTTTTGGTTTCGGGTTTGATCTTCTATTATTTCCCAACGTTATGGTTTCCGAAAGGACTCTTCTTCCACCTCTTAAAGATCTTCTTGATAGCTCTATAATGCTTGAAACACCCAAGAGGTTTCCAAGTGTGATGCTCTTGTCATGGAAGAAAGACCCTGTGGACTTCAATTCATAACCAATAACAAGCTCAAAAACCTTACAACAAAATGCTATATATAATTCAATAAAGGTTTATTATTGATTTTATTTATTGCAAAAAGATGCTTATCTTGATGAACCTAAATTAATACCCTTTAAAGGGTGACATGTGAAAAGCACATGGCTTTTTTCTGTCACTTCAAATTGCACATATATGCACTTGTTTCAAGGTGGAATTGAAAAGCATTCAGATCATCTACTCCCAAGGGCATAATTTTGGTGCCATCAGCTTCTATATGTCTTTATATATGTCTCATACCATAAGAAGCTTGGACCAAATGAGACACAACTGGAAACAAAAGAAAAGGTTATTGCCCATTTCTCAAAGAGTAGAGTTGCATCAATAATTTGTATATTATGCATTAAAACTTGTATATATTGTTCTAAATTTGAGAATCCATATATATGTTAATAAAAGGAAAGGGGTTAAAAGTAAAAGCTGATAGATTGTGCTACTAATTTTAAAGAACTCTTGTGACTCAATGATTCTCATCTCTTATTCTTTAATTTGTGCTTGTACTATATATACATATATATACATATATATATATATATATATATATGGCTAGGATTGTGGTTAAAATCGTTTATTATAATATAAACAGTAGTTTTTACGAGGAAGCTTGTTAAGCATGAAATGCTGGAAACCGGATACAAAGAGCAATGCCAAAGCTAGGTCAAAAAGATAAATGTGTTGATTCTTTTTTCACATCAAGAATTCAAGATCAATATAGTTGTATCTACTGCAGTGAAAGTAGTACATTTGCTTCATATTTGGGCCAACCTCTAAACTTTATGTAGGTATTTAATCAAGAAACCTACGTGGGTACCAATTAACATGATGAAACGTGTTACTGGCTCCTAGCAGTTTCTTGATCCTGAAAAAAACGTGGTTTCTTCGAGTGTTGCAGACAATCCCGATCGATTCGAGTTTAGGGTATTTAGATTATATATCCCCACAAGTTTCAACCTCTTTAATTTATCTATCATGCATTGATTGATATGGGATATGCTTTAATAAAATGAAATAAAATACAGAAAGCAATAAACACAGGCAAACCTGTGTATCTAAATCTGAAGAAGAATCTGAGGTTAAAGTAGGAGAGCCACTGAGCAAAGTGTTGCATGAGATTGATCCTGAGAAATCATGGTTTCTTGCTCTCACATTCAAAGGCTGCAGTCCCAAAGGCCATCCCCCCTCTTCCTGCATGCATTCAATTAAAAATGAAGAACAAACACACACACACACACACACACACAGAGAATTAAAACCCTAAATGGGGATCAGTATATATATATATATATATATATATATATATAAATGTATATACCTGTTGAGCCATGTAGAAACTGCAGATGGTGTGGATTATTTGAGTTGATTGAATAG